AGTGAGAACATTTGATCCAAAATTTCCAGACTGAAATTTAAACCTGCATCAAGAATTATCCCCACTCCAACACTGACTGTTGCATTTCTTTCATTAAAGCAAGATGAAATAAAAGCCAAACAAAAGCAAGACAAAAAGCAAAAGGTTGTGAGCCAAAAATCATGTATTTTAAATTCTAAGTCCTAAATCATGAATGATAAACAATATATTAGAATATGGTCCAATTGTTAATGAGAGCTACCCTATTCCATTGATTCCATTGATGCACTTTTCCCATTCACACTTTAACATCTCTGAAATTGGGTGTATTATAATTGATAGTGTCTTAGAACAATAGTTGGAAGCTTCTTTTCTTGTGATCCATCAAGTAATGTTGACTCTTACAATTGACAGTACTTAAGATTCCATGAAATGTAATATTGGATTCATGAGACCTCAGTAAATACTCCCCAGCATGGGAGCTCAGGATCCTAGGGGCTTCATTTAAGTTAATTATGCCACATAAAGTTCCTGTAATAGAACTTACAAAAGCTTTCTTTTCATCTTGACCAGCTTAAACATCACCAAGACTGGATTGGACAAAACAGCCCTTAAAGTTATTATATAACTTCTAATTACCTAATTGACTCTAGTCTGTCAAAAAAATTGAGAGTTTTCCAAAAAAAACCAAAAAACTTCTTAGTTTGTGGCAAGAGAGAGTAAGCCTGAGCTCAGACATTCAGGTGAGTCAACATCTTGGAAGGAGAAAGATGAGAAGAGGCTATATCACTAAGGAACAAGTAATCGCTTTGTCAAGATACACAGCAATAGATCAATAATTGGAAAAGGTCCCACTGTGGCCCAAGTTCATCCACTGCTAGAGAAATCAAGGCAGGCTGACTCGCTGGGACCTCCTTTTGGTTCATATTTAGCCACAAAACCAAAATCCTCTAGTGGCCCAGAGATCTTTTTCTAAAAATATAGTGCAAAAAAGTAACTATTCTACCTACTTTAAAAAAATGTAAAACATATTTAAAAAATTCTCTGGGTTGAGACGATAGAAATCTGGGCAAGCTCTCACCCTAACGAACACTGGAGAATCTCCAAGAAAAGGCAGGATCACTGAAGAGCTGTGTCCTTGCTAAGGAGAGAGTGTTTCTCCAGCAACGATGAAGACCGATTGCTCCTTTGCCTGCAAGGAAGCACCGTGCTCCCACCATCAAGAAGCTGTAAACTGCTTGTTTACAAGTCCACATGAATGAAACATCAGTATGAAATCTATTGATTGCACATTATTTTACTGGAGGCTTTAAATTTATTTTTTATTTTTATTGAATTTATTGGGGTGACATTGGTTAATAAAATTATATAGGTTCCAGGTGTGCAGTTCTATAATACAAAGATTTCCAACCTTTTTCATCTCCTGGCACACATAAACTAATTACTAAAATTCTGTGGCACACCAAAAATATATATTTTTTGCCGATCTGACAAAAAAAAAAAGGTATAATTTTGATTCATTCACACTGGACAGCTACTGCTGTGTTGGCTGTTGCCATGTTTCTAAGGGAAAAAAGGGCAGTGTCCTTGACTAAATAGTCAGGCCTTGCATGTTTTAAACATTCTTGTGGCACACCAGTTGAAAATCGCTGCTGTAATACATCACCTGTACACTGAATTGCGTGTTTACCACCCCAAGCCATGCCTCCTCCCATCACCTTTTATCCCCACACAGTTCCCTCTGGTAATTACCACACTGCTGTCTGTCTATGAGTTTTTGGTGTTTTTATTTTGCTTAGTCCCTTCATCTTTTTCATCGGGCCCCCAACCCCCTCCCCTGTGACAGCTATCAGCCCGTTCTCTGTATCTATGAGTTTGTTCCTACTTTGTTAGTTTACTTTGTTCATTAGATTCCACATATAAGTGAGATCATAAGGTATTGGTCTTTCTCTAACTGGCTGTTTCACTTAGCAGGTCACCTCACACCTGTCAGAATGGCCGTCGTCAATAAATCAATAAATCAACAAACAGTAAGTGCTGGCGAGGGTGTGGAGAGAAGGGATCCCTCGTGCACTGCTGGTGGGAATGCAGGCTGGTGCAGCTGCTGTGGAAAGCAGTGTGGAGCTACCTCAAAAAATTAAAAATGGAACTGCCTCATGACCCAGTGATTCTACTTCTGGGAATATATCCTAAGAAACCCGAAACACTAATTCAAAAGAATATTGGCACCCCTATGTTCATTGCAGCGTTATTTACAATAGCCAAGTGTCCATCAGTAGTCGAGTGGATAAAAAAGCTGTGGGACATTTACTCGCGGCTTTTGAGACCCTTCCCCCCCCCCCCCC